TTATAAGCCTCATGAAGGTAAGTTGGATGCAAAGAAAGTTAGCTGTTATTTTATTGGATATGTTGAACGCTCTTACGGGTACAAGTTTCACAATCCCATCACAGAACAATTTTTAAAACGGGAAATGCAAGATTCCTTGAGGAAGTAGAGTTTGGAGGGGAAGGAAGCATAAAGAGTGTTGCCTTTGATGAAGAAACTGTTTCTCACAATGATCAAGTTTTTGTACCTATCTTTGTTCCAGAAATAGATCCTTAAATAAACAATGATGTTATTTCTAACATCCCCTAAAAACAAGGAAATACTGAGTTTCTTCCTCAAGTACCACATATATTTCAAACTCAACAGCCTCAAGAGCCACCATTAAGAAGATCCACTAGAGAGAGGAAGAATGCAATTTCAGATGATTATATTGTATTTCTTCAGGAACGTGAGGATGACATTGGTTTGAATGAGAAAGATCCTATCAACTTTAGTCAAGCTATGCAGATTCCAAACTCTTTTAAGTGGGTTGATGCCATGAAGGATGAAATGAAGTCAAGGGCTGATAATGATGTTTAGGATCTCGTTAAATTATTCGAAGGAAAGAAACCCATTGGTTGTAAATGGATATTTAAAACCAAAAGGGAGTCAAAGGGTAACATTGAGAGATATAAAGCTCGTCTTGTCGCAAAATGCTTTACTCAAAAGAAAGGAATTGATTATAAAGATACTTTCTCTACAGTTTATTTGAAAGAATCTCTTAGGATAATGATGGCATTGGTATCTCATTATAATTTAGAGTTGCATCAGATGGATGTAAAGATTGTGTTTCTAAATGGAAACATTGAAGAGAAAATATATATGGTGCAACTAGAAAACATTGTGTCAGAAAACCCAAAGTCTATGGTTTGCAAACTCAAGAAATCCATCTATGGCCTTAAACAGGCTTCTTGTCAATGATATTATAAATTTCATCAAGTAATATCCTCATTTGGTTTTGAGGCTAATCAAGTTGATAACTATGTATACCAAAGGTTTAGTGGGAGTAAATTGGTTTTCTTGGTACTATATGTAGATGATACCCTTTTGGCAAGCAATAATATAGGCTTATTGCACGAAACCAAGAGATTTCTCACAAATAAATTTGAGATGAAAGATCTTGGGGACGCCTCCTTTGTCTTAGGAATTCAAATACTTAGAGACCGTTCTCGAGGTATTTTACGATTGTCACAAATGAGCTATATTGATACAGTTTTGGATATATTCTCTATGAAAAATAGTAAACCAAGAGACACACCCATTACTAAAGGAGACAAGTTTTGTCTAAAACAGTGCCCCACTATGCATCTTGAAAATCAAGAGATGCATAAGGTTCCATATGCTTCAGCAGTGGCAAGTCTTATGTATGCTCAAGTTTACACCTGTCCCGACATAGCATTCATTTTAGAAGTTCTTGGATGATATCTAAGAAACCATGGTATGCAGCACTGGATAGCAGTAAAATGTGTAATGCGCTACGTGAAGAGAATAAAATACTTTGTGGTCACTTATCAGAAGTCAGATAACTTAGAGTTCATTGGGTATTCTGACTCAGATTTTGTCGAATGTCCAGTTAGCAGACATTCCACATCTGGTTACATCTTTCTCCTGGCTGGATGAGGCATCTCCTGCAAGTGTTCCAAAAGGACTTTAGTGGCTCCCTCCACCATGGCAGCCGAGTTTGTAGTTTTTTTTTAGGCATCAAATCATGCAATTTGGCTGCAAAGCTTTGTCACAAGCCTACACATCGTTGACAGCATTGAAAGGCCCTTGAATGTTTATTGTGACAATAATCCAGTTGTGCTATACTCTAACAACAATATGAGTTCTACAAAATCTTAATTTATCGATATCAAGTATCTTGTTGTGAAAGAAGGAGTTTAGGAGAAACAAAGTTTGATAGAACATATACAGACAGACCTAATGCTAGCTGATCCACTAACCAAAGGTTTAACACCCAAGGCTTTTCATGGACATGTTGCTTATATGGGTCTTGGTTTTGAGATTGCCTTAGATTAGTAGGAATTTTTTCCTTAATTTTCTACATTCTGTGCTTTGGTTTTATTTTGGTACAAACTTTTTGTTATGTTTAATTTTCTGCAGAAATAAAAACTTATGAGGTAATATTGTTATAATTATATCAAGTTTTTTTTTTTGTTATGTGCAAATATTGTAACTTTGAATTGCACCTAAGGAACTTCAGTTTGATCTCACTAAAGACTTCAGTAAGGCTAGTTGGAAATATGCATGATTTATAGATCACATTGCACGAAATTTCCATGTCACTCATCCATATCGATCTATGTCATCAAGTACGTTGATGTGGTGGTTGTCGAGATTCCGTCACGCTATACGATTAATGACGACAGACACGATGGTCCCATTATTGATGTAAGAGGTGAACCAGATTATAAAGTTGAAATCTAAAGATAAATAGCATTCAAATGCGTGCCTACATAATTATGATATAATTATTAAGATATCTTGGCCAAGTGGGAGATTGTTGGAATACTTTATAGTATTCCAATAATTATGTGGCCAGATATATTTATTTAATTATTTATTATATTAACTATTTTATCAATAAAGTTTCTTTAAATAATTAAGTGATCAAATAATGTTAAAAAGGCTATTTAGATTTTATTTATGAATTAATTAATTGGGTATGAACTCAAATATGCGTGGATGTCAGGATAGCCCATTTGGGAATAATGGAAACCCTAATTGGCCATCACACTATATATAGGTTATGGCCTGTAATATACATCACATAAATAAATTATCTCTTCTCCGAATCTGAAGAGAATTCGAGGCATAAGGAGTACCGGTTGAGCAAGAACCACAAAAGTCATCAACTCCTAAGTTTTAGAATTACTGTCAAAGAAATTTTTCTCAATGGATCCAAATACTCCAAAATAACTTATCAATCCTTTAATTTTATACATGCTTGATTTTCGCGCCTAAGTTATATATTATAATTTCTTAAGCATGTATGCTTTTTATTAATAGTTACTAATTTAATTCTAACATGTTGGGGGTGCCAACTGAGACTTTTGTGGGGATGATGTTCTCCTTGGAGAAATAATACTATCCTAAATATGGATTTGTTTAAGTTTTCGAGAAAGGCTTGAGTTTTGGTTTATGGTAAGTATGCATGTTTGAATGGCGTAATGCTCCATCTTGATGGACATGCTAAGTGTTCTACTGATGCAATACTATGTAATAATGATTACTATATGAAACGTGTCGATGTATGCTCAAGCTTGGGTTATGAATATGATAGGTAGGACCTGGTGCTCTTTATCAAAAAGATCAAAGTGACTGGCGTTAATGATGATGAATTGCCAGTGGTGACTAGACTTAGGAGGTGCCAATAAAGACTGGATCCTTTCCAATGCCCCAAGTTGGATTTGAGCAGGCAAGTTGAGTGTCAATTATCCTAAGTGAACGATGGTTATTTGATTTGTTAGGTCAAATGGGCCTTTGTAATTTTATGTCCTTGTGCTCTATGTGCGATATTTGGAAATCGTGGTTATCCTTCAGACATTTCAAAATCAAAGTAACTTCATGTTTTCTTTCAACAGTTTTATTATTATCCCTAAAACTTTCAATGCATTGTTTATTAAAAATAAATTCACATTTCGCAAACAAGAAGAAAAAGTAAAAATGAGGGGCACTTTTGATAAAAGAAATTTTATTGATGAGAAAGTGACTCGAAAATGGGCGATTACATAAGGAAGAAATTTCTAAAAGAGGTAATTGCAAGAAAGTAAAGAATACAATGGCAATGAGAAAAGCTCGGATTTCCATTGAGTTCCAACGTTGTTATAATCCTTATATCCTTGAACATCCTAGTATTTTGCTTCCGATGGGAGTGACTGGATCGATCCTTCCTGTCTGAGATTTCCAATGTTGTAGTGATGAATTCACAGATTATTCATAGATCGCAGCCTCTTGCCTTTTAAATCCCTAATTTTTGTCTAGATTGCCCTTTCAGGTTTTTAGTCTATCGGAATAACCCTTTTTTGTGCCTAAGTTGTCCCTTAGGATTTTCAACTTAGCGGATTTTTCATTTCTTTTGATTTTATCCCTAGTTTTTATCCTAGACCTTTTATTTTTGTGGTCCACCGGGATGCCCAATTTTATCTAAGTCGCCTCTTAGGATTTTCGACTTAGCGGATCTATCTTTTAGGCGAAGTATTTTTTTTATTGCATATGCATTCACTAGGGATGAGAGGTCTTGACTGTCCATAGTTGTGAGAATCAAAGTTCACCCTGAGACGACCTTCTTCATAATGTATAGTCCTTCGTAGTTAGGTGTCTATTTGTCTCGTGAATCTGAGATATGAAAACTTTATTATAAAATGTATTATTTATAAGAGAGAGAAAGATTGAGTAAATGTTAATACTAAATGTCAAACAAAATATACTTACACTTCCCAATAACTATTTAAAATGATTAGCTAAATGAATCAGATCATTAAATTAAGTGATTTTATTAAGTTGATAAGTATATAAAATTTTATGAAATTTAAAAATAATTTGATAATTTATTACATCAATTTATTTGAATTTATAATAAGTTATTTAAAATATATATCAACTAATAGAATATATAACAATATATGTATAAATTGTTTAAACTTTTATGTAGATGATCATCATGAATTGATTTAACTTGATTTTTATAAAAAAAATCATTGAAAGTGTAAGTATTACAAATTTATCCTTTAGTGTCTGCAAGTTCTGACTTTATATATATATAAAGACTTGACTATTTTAACAAGTTGGCTGACTCTCAATCTATTCAAAATTTTCGTTCCACAATAAACCACTTTGACGGTACAAGCAACATATGGTTGAATAATATGGCAAGTGATGTTTGACTTTTATTCATCGCCATACATGATTAATATCTCCACACATAATTTCCGCATATGATATTCTATAAATAATACCAATCCATTGCTCCAACACTAACCATGTCAACAAGATTGATCAAAATCACAAACCTCAGTCTTCTGTTATGGCTTTTCATGTCCACAACAATTCTTGCGCAATCTGAAAATGAACCAGTTCTTGACACAAAAGGAAACCCTTTGGAGAGAGGCAAAGAGTATTACATAAAACCAGCTATAACAGATAGTGGAGGCCGTTTCACTTTGATAAACAGAAACAGTTCCTGCCCTTTATATGTAGGTCAAGAAAACACAGATCTTGGAAAAGGGTTGCCTGTTATTTTCACACCTTTTGCAAAAGAAGATAAAGTTATTAAGGTAGAAAGGGATTTTAAGGTGAGGTTTTCAGCTTCTTCAATTTGTGTACAGTCCACAGAATGGAAGTTGGGTGATAGAGACAGTAAGAGTGGAAGGAGGCTTATTATAGCAGGGACTGATCGTTATAACTATTTTAGAATTGCGAAGACTCAGTTTGGAGGTATATATAATATTGAGTTTTGTCCCTCTGTGTGTGACACTTGTAGGTTTGAGTGTGGTACTTTGGGTGGTTTGCGTGAGAATGGAAAGATATTATCGGCTTTGGGTGATAATAAGCTTCCGGTTCAGTTTATAAGAGCATAAGTTAGTTTTGTGTTTGTATCTTTGTTCTTGTAACCCCTTCTTAATAATTGGAGTATTATAGGATAGAAAGATGCATGTGACTTTTCTTTCTCTAAAGCTATAGAATTTAGCTCCAAAATGTTATGTGTAAGTCATTATTACTAGTTGTACTATTATGTAAGAATAATGTTATTGTGCACTATACTTTTTTTATTAGTAATGTGAGTACAGACTACAAGGGCTATTTACTCTAATATAGAGGATAGTAAAAAAGAGAGAATCGCAAGAAGGAAGAACAAATACAAGCTAACTGATTTGATAGCCAATCATTTCTATCACTCACAATCAACCTCTTAGCTCTAGCACCAAACTATTCTTAAGAGAGCTTTAGCCATAGATACAATTTCATCCACTCCTTTCTGCCCTCCATTAAAAACAGTATCGTTTTTAATTAACCATAAAGACAACAAGTCAAAAAAGAAGACGGATATTCTTCAAATCTTTCCTTTAAGCAATAATTAAAAATCCTTCAAGTTGCACTATACTATAAACTAACCCTATAATGGTTGATTATTCATGCAAAAGTATTCTTGTATGTGTGGTTCAATGGCTTTTACAATCCACAAATATTACTAAATCTTACATTCTATATTCTTATATATAATAGACTTCCAACCAAAGTCAACTTAATTAGAAAGGATATTATTAAAAGTATTTGTTTCATAGATAGAGATATTATTAACATGGATAAATTCAGAGATTTAAATTAATTTAATAGATATAAATTATAGCATATTATTATATTAAAGAATAATCGACAATAATAAGAACACGATATACTTTTTAGGATTTGAGATATTACCGTCGGAGATAGTCAGTATGAAAGGATTACTATCCTCATTGCCGTTTAGGGTTTTCAGAGTATGTTAATTGTCTAATGAGGAGACACTTAAATAGCTAAACGGCTGAGGGCAGAGACCTCTCATTGGGCTTAACTGAATGGTTCAACCCATCACAGTTCATTCAGACACAAAACTCAATCAAATAATTCATCTATTTAGTTGTTTAATAACAATATACCATAATATAATTAATTAATAATTAATTATGTCAATCCATATTTGATTAATTAATTAATTAATCTAACAATTTCTCACTTGGAGGACAATAATTAATTATTAAAAATATTGATTTTAGTATTAGAATATCAATAATGGTCAAAACACTAATCAATCAAAAAGAAGTAAATTTCAAAGCTGCAGAAATTGTATCCGATAGGGAAGACAAATCATACATGTTAAAACTCACAACTTTATATAAAAAATGATGACTTTAGAGTAACATATTTAACTTCAAAGTAATATGTTATAAAGAATGACCCAAGCATATGAAAATGCTATTGATAAACTCCCACTAACGCAAAGTATCATATGACTTACTCATGTGTATAAGTCTATGGTTAGTGATTATACTAATGAGTTTTAAATTATAGGTCATAGAATATCCACATAGATCTAAGAATAATAATTACATATAGGGATACCCTATTAACAGAGTAATTATATTTAATTATAAGTACCTTCATAACACAATATCATACTCGATACGAGTATTGATATTTACTTGTACTTTCATATTATGACCTGACAAATGTGGACTATTGAAGATAGAATAACACAATATTATTGCACAATAAAGAATTATTGTGTCTTTTCAATATCAACTTAAACATCAAATTATAATGTTTTCTGAGATTAAGAGAATAATATATATCTTAGTATAACAGAATAAAACTTCTTATAATTATTTCTTATTTTGAAGTACTTTTAGAATATGTCATATTTACGGTGCACGCAAGAATATATGACACTATGAGAATAATAATCCAAAATTTTTAGATTATATGATTGTGTAGACATGCACTCCACTCCCACTAATCCAATATAATAAGGATTTATCAAATGACACTAATATTAAATACTCTAATTGAACAACGGGATGCTAATTTTATTTTTAGTGCAAAATTATATAGAGAAGTGGTTCTATAATATATTATCATTGGAGTTTTACAAACTCAACCACATATTTTGCACGTCAATAGAATATATCCTTATTTAGATAATTTCACATGAAAGAATATGATGGTCATATAAAAGATTTATCATCTTTTGAGTGAGATCAAATTTATATAATTTTAAATAGAATATAGGACTTTATACAATATATTAATAACTCGCTCAAAGCTCAAATGCTACAAATATAACCACACACATTTGAGAAATATATTACGTTATACGCAGCGGAAAAATATGAGACTTTAATCAAATTTAACATTGAGGATATAACATAAGACTAAAATATCCTTAATATAAGTCTCTATAAAATAATACTATATATTAAACAAATAATATTTGTTTCTGATTTCTATATAATTGACATGTTAAATTCTCTCACTCGATAGAGAATAATAGTTGAATTATTAATATTAGAATTTTAAAATATTTAAACAAATATTCAACTATTTTCTTTATCACACAATAATCATTCAAGTAAGTCACACCGATAGAGTATGTCCATCATTTACATAATACATAGAGAATTGAAATCTATTTTAATAAAAAAAATAAGATTATTGGATTTCATAAAGTATTACATGTCTTCAAAAATAATTTTTTATTTCTCAAATAATACTTTCAACAATATTAAATAAGAAATATAACAATGTATAAATATTATGTCACCAAAAATTCTAATACCGATAGGGTACTTGAACTATAATTTACATAATAATAAATCATAAGTACATTGAACAAAATAAATTATACTAATAATAACATACCGATAGGGTATTGATCTGACCTGATCAGAAGGGATCACGGGCTGGCCACACTCTGTTGGGATGCTACCTGTTCGCCGGTGATGAGGAGGAGAAGGGGGTGTACCTGCAAGACACTCCGATGCCAAAGTAAGAAGTTGGGCAGAGTGGAAGCAATAGTACAGAAAAGGGGCAAGAAGAGTTACCTGACCCTCTTGAGGAAGAGGGTATTTATAGAGAGACCCCAGCGCTGGGCCAACGGTCATTTGAGGTGGGCTGGATGACCAGGCCCAACCCTAATGACTGCTAGGGCTTACGTGGCGTAGTGAAGACCAGGACGTGGTCTTCGCCCTAGTTCAACCGCTCCTAGATCTCCGGAAAGTGGGTTTGACCTGCTCTTTCGGAGGAGGAGAGTTGGCCGGTGACGTGTCCCCGCGGAGGGGGGCACGTGGAAAACGTGCGCCGGGCACGTTGTTCTCCCGCGGAGGGGAGGGACCACGACCGCGCTTTGGTGAGTCGGGGACGGTTCCGCTCGTCTGATGTGGTGGATGATGAAAGGTTGTTGGGACGTTGCTTGTGTTCGGCGGCCTGCCCTGCTCGTCTTTGAGGGATGCACGTGCCCGGCGTGCCCGACTCGCTTGTTGGACCGTAAGCGGTATTGGGCCTGCCGAGGTCGGGCCCATACCGGAACAGGAGCCCCCCAAGTCGAAGCTCTGGGGAGAGAGCGAGGACTTAAGGTCGCTGCATCTGGAACGGGCACTCGTGCGAAGATCTCCGGTCGTCGGCAGAGCGGGGAGAAGGCAGGTGAGGGGACGCGACTGTCAGGTTGCCGCCACGTGTCTTGCGTTAAGCGGTCGTAGGGGCGGCTACCCTATGTCATTAATGAGCCTAGGGTCGCTTCGAGTCCCGCGCCGGGTTATAAATATGGGGGTCCCCGCTCATTCTGCTACTTTTCACTCTGCCGTTGTGTCTGCTAAGCTTTGTCATTTCTGCTCGTCCGCCGCTTGCCGCCGATCGCCGCTGCACCGTTTGATCTTTCCTTCCGTCCGCCGCCGTTACAAGTGAGTTTTTCTTTTCCCTTCCTTTTTATTTCCGTCGTTCAATTGGAATGTGTGGTTGGGGCATGGTGAATGCCCCGAGGAGGGACGCGAGACCCACCGTGTCTGGCGAATTTTCTGATGAGTGTCCCGGGGAGGATAGGCTGGTTCCGATGAATGCCCCAAGGACGGGAGCTTTTTCTGATGAATGCCCCGAGGACGGGGGCTTTCCCCGATGAATGCCCCGGGGATAAGTACCTTCTCCGATGGCTGTCCCGAGGGGGGATGGGGGGTCGGCCTTTGGTCCCCCGAGGAGGGTAGACGAGGAGCGAGTGTTTGCTCGTCGCTTCCCGGCCTTTGTCGCCCTTTCACTTGACTTGCGGTGGAAGGGTGGATTTGATCCTGGCTATCGAATTCACCGTTGTCCTCTGCTTTCAGGTGTAGATGTCGGCTCTGGTGCCGGGGATAATGGTCGAAGACAATGAACCTGAGATCCCGGAGTATGACGATGAGCGTATCTCCCCGTCCGAGGAGTGGGCGGCCGAGGAGCCGCTTTCTACTCCTTCTTGTTTCGTGGCCGACGCATCCGACGTGTACGCCACGGTTGAGGACACGCCTATAGGAGAGCCACAACACTGGCAGGTGTACCGACCAAATGGACATCACCGTATCTGCTCGTGCTATGGGCGGCGGATGTTCCCGATGCATGAATTCTATTTTAAAGAAGCGCGGCTCCGGTTACCGTTCTCCGCCTTTCATCTGGGGCTTTTTGACTGGTTGCGCCTTGCCCCGTCCCAACTGCACCCCAATGCCTTGGCTTTCATCCGGGCTTTCGAGGTGGTGTGTTTCTACCTCTCGGTGGAGCCGACGGTACTGTTATTTTTCCGCATCTTCCACCTGCAGCGGCAGACGGTGAATGGCCGCCACGGATGGGTTTCTTTTAAGCAATCGACCAAACTCTTCAAAGCGTATAGAGATTTTGTCAAAGATTTCAAGAACCGGTTCTATCTCGTTAAGCCGATCACGCAGCACGGCTCGGACACTCTCTTCGACGAGGGCGAGCGAACGGTAGATGGCCAACGATTTCGCGCGTGGCTTCCTAAGATACATCTACTGTGGACCGCGGAGCATTTCAGCCGAGGGATGGATAGGTATATCGTCCGGGCGGG